TTAGTTCATGTGATGAGTCTAGCTTCAAATGTGAGACTTGTGTAATGGCCAAGAGCCACCGTACTGTTTTTCCCTTAAGTAATAATAAAGCTGCTTTGCCTTTTGAGTTAGTACATTCTGATGTCTGGGGTCCTGCTCGTGTGACTTCTAATGGTTTCCGTTGGTTTGTTACGTTTATTGATGATTGCACTCGCTTAACATGGGTGTATTTGATGAAGAATAAACAAGATGTTGCCTCTATTCTCCTTGAATTTTGTATCATGGTCTCAACTCAGTTTCATGCTCGTGTGAAAGTGTTTCGGATTGATAATGGCGGTGAATATGTGAATCATACCTTGACCCAGTTCTTTCGTGATCAAGGTATCATTCACCAAACAACCACTCCTTTCACACCTCAACAGAATGGCGTGTCTGAAAGGAAGAATCGTCAGTTACTTGAAGTTGCTCGCTCTCTGATGTTGGATATGTCTGTTCCCCATCATCTTTGGGGACATGGTGTCTTGGCCGTGGCCTACTTGATTAATCGTACTCCTAGTCGGGTTCTTGATTTCAAGACTCCACTTGATATGTTGTGTGCTCATACTCCTCCGGTTTCGGTCTCTAAGTTACTTCCAAAGGTGCTTGGGTGTGTTGCGTATGTTCATGTCTACTCCCATCAACGGAGTAAACTTGATCCTTGTGCTCTCCGATGCGTCTTTATTGGCTATTCTACCACTCAGAAGGGTTATAAGTGCTATCACCCGCCCACTCAGAAGGTACATGTTACTCTCGATGTCACCTTTCATGAAGAAGTACCCTATTATGTTTTCCCCTCCTCTTCAATTCAGGGGGAGAGGGGGAGTGAATTGAAGAGTTTCGGAGTGGAAAATGTGGAAAATCGTGGAAAGGAATAAGGAATTTCGGAGGAACAGCCTGGAAGAAGCGACCGGTCGCCTGGAAGAAGCGACCGGTCACCAACGAACCTGCCTGGATACGACCGGTCCCATAGAGGAAGCGACCGATCGCGATGCAACCTGCCTAGAAACGACCGGTCGCGTCGAAGCTAGCGACCGGTCGCCTGCCTCGATACGTGACGATGAAGACGATGTGAGTCTAGCGACCGGTCGCCCAGAATGTCACGACCGGTCGCCAGACAATGTTTTGGAATTTTTCGATTCTTCCTCAGAAGGACGTGACAGTGATATTAGCGACTCTCGTACAGATGAAATTGATACAAGACCCCCCTCTGCCCTACCATTGCCCCAATCAACTCGTGATACTAAGGTACGTTCTAGTGATGTGTCTACTTATTCTTTGCCTCCACGCACTACCCGTGGGAAATCTAAAGTACAATATTCTCCTGATATACATGCCAAGTCCAAATATCCCATTAACCATTATATGTCAACTCATCGTTTATCAAAGTCTTATGCATCATATTTGTGTCAATTATCTAGAGTATGTGTCCCAACTAAGTTGCAGGATGCTCTATCTGATCAAAATTGGGTAGATGCAATGCATATTGAAATGGAAGCCTTGAACAAGAATGCCACTTGGGAGTTAGTTCCTTTACCAAAAGGGAATAAGGCAGTTGGGTGCAGATGGGTGTTTACTTTGAAGCACAAGGCTGATGGCTCTATTGACCGTTACAAGGCAAGATTGGTAGCAAAAGGGTATACTCAGACCTATGAAGTGGATTACACAGAGACTTTTGCTCCAGTAGCAAAGCTCAATATTGTGCGCGTACTCTTGTCCTTAGCTGCTAACCATGATTGGCCGCTGCTACAATTTGATGTCAAAAATGCATTCCTCCATGATGACCTCAAGGAAGAAATATACATGGATCCTCCGCCGGGTATCCCTATGACCTCTAAGGAGGGTGTGGTGTGCAAGTTACAGAAATCCTTGTATGGATTAAAGCAGTCTCCAAGAGCGTGGTTTGGAAGATTTGCTGCATCCATGAAGAAGTTTGGGTATGTGCAAAGTAACTTTGATCATACTTTGTTTCTGAAGCGTCATAAAGGTAAATTGATGGCTTTAATTATTTATGTTGATGATATGATTGTGACTGGAGATGATCATGTGGAGATACAGAGTCTTCAGAAGTATCTGGCTTCTGAGTTCGAGATGAAATCATTGGGTGATTTAAAGTACTTTCTTGGGATTGAAGTTGCCAAGTCTAAACATGGTATTTTTCTATCCCAAAGAAAGTATATTTTGAATTTACTTGCAGAAACTGGAATGTTGGATTGTAAACCGATTGATACCCCTAATGAGCAGAATCATAAGTTGGGGATATATCCCGATCAAGTTCCGACTAATAAAGAACGTTATCAACGACTTGTGGGGAAGTTGATTTATTTAGCTCATACCCGTCCGGACATTGCATATGCTGTAAATATGGTGAGTCGGTTTATGCACTCTCCTAGTGTAGATCATATGGGGGCTATGACTCGTATTTTAAGGTATCTGAAAGTAACTCCTGGCAAGGGGTTAATTTTCTCCAAGTATGGTCATACGGATGTAGAAGAGTAAACAGATGCTGATTGGGCAGGTTTAGCTACAGATAGGTGTTCGACATCTGGGTATTTTATGTTTGTTGGTGGCAATCTTGTTACGTGGAGGATCAAGAAACAAAAGGTGGTGTCTCGATCTAGTGCTGAGGCCGAGTATCAGGGAATGGTCCATGGTGTATCTGAGTTATTATGGTTGAGGAGATTGTTGAGAGACCTTGGTTTTGAGCCTAATAAACCCATGGATTTATATTGTGACAATACGGCTGCGATTGCAATTGCTCATAACCCTGTACAACATGACCGTACAAAGCATGTGGAGGTTGATCAAAATTTCATTAAAGAAAAGTTGGATGCAGAGATCGTGTCCTTCCCCTTCATCCGTTTTGAGTATCAGTTAGCTGATGTTCTTACGAAAGCTGTTTCTACAAGTATCTTTCTCAACTCGCTTGACAAGTTGGGCATGCGTGACGTCTTTGCTCCAACTTGAGGGGCAGTGTTAGCGAGATATCCCTATTCTATTAGGATATTGTTTTATTTATTTCCTTTTATATAGATATTATGTAATTAGGATACCACTTATTTTCCTAGTTTAACCCTATTAGAGTTTGCAACCTGTATTATAAATACCTCCTTTCGGAGAATGAAATACATCTGAAAATATTTTACCATATTATTTGACCTACTGGGGGATGGCTGGCTCTTACTTCAGTGTTATCAGCTTTTTTCCATTTTTCTTGAGTTAAGGTTTTTAGTCCTTTTTTATAATAATTTTCAACGAAGTCGAGGAAGAATATTTCTGATTTGGTTTGTAGCATGAAGGATTTCCAATCATTAAAGATTTGCTGTCTTTGCTCCTTACTTGGGTAAGTTGCCCTATATTGATTTTGTCTATTAATATTTTCTTCTGACTCTAAGTGTTTGTCAAGGATTTTCCAGTGTATTTTGAATTCTTTATCGAGTGTTCTTAATTGATTATCGACTGGGACTGCTTCGGCTTCGAAGTCCGTTTGAGTAGGCGAGTTTGAACCTTCATTTTCTACGATTGGCTTTTTACTATTATTGTAGCAGGGATGACTAATTTGCGAGCTTTTTCTAAGAGATTCTAATTTAAAGTCAATTAGTGTTTTTTCTATTTCTAAGTCTCTTTCTAAAGTAGAGGAAGACCCCGTGTGCCTAAGGGATTGACTAGGAGTTGGGAGTTGTTTTAACTGCACTGAGGATTTAGGAGGCTGATTTCCAAAATTAATTTTGACTCTGCCGTCAGGGTATTGTTGGATGTAATCTAAATTGTTTAAGTTATTCTGAATAGGAGTGGGTTGACTCTCGGTTGCTAAAGTCCAATCTGAGGATAGAGTTATTTTTTACCATTTAATTGCTTGAGGGACTCTTATATTAGCATTTGCGCTGCTTTGATTTAGCAAGGTCTGGTCTTTGGGGCTTTTATTAAGGGCTTGGAAGTTCATGTTGGTTCCTGTGACTTTGTAATAGATTCTATAGACTAAGGCCAGAGGCTAGGTGCCTGGTAAGACCTCATAACTTGAAGTGATGTTTAGTGTTAGGGTTTTTAATATGTGTGAATCACTAAGACTTACTGTAAAATCTGGGTAACAATCAAAGTGAATTGGGCCATTAAACAGGCTTGACTCTATTATGCCTAATGTGCTGTCACTGAAATTGGTAAATCTTCCATCACGTAAGCAAAGCAGAATGGAAGCATTGAGTCCTATTCTTGTTAAAGGTTTGACTGCGACTTGAACTAGACCAATATGTAAGAAATTGTTTCCATCTCTTCTGTGTTTTCTAATTGACTCGATATTAAGTAATTGGCAGGTTTCATGTTCTTTACTCAGGGCATAGACTTGTTCAACTGTCTTAATATGGGCTGTACTTTTGAAAGAGGAGAGTGACCATCTTTTCTTATATGTTTCAGTCGTAGGGACTCTGGGGATATTCCAATCCTTGAAATCTATGTCATTGTTTGTTTCGTATTCTATTTGTTCTTCATTTACTATATCTGGGACTTTACTAAGGCTGGCTCTAGAATTGTTACTGTTATAGGAGTTTGATCTAAAAAGGCGACTCATAGAATTGTGCATCTACTATATAGGAGCCAGGAAACAATTTGCTACAGGACTCATAGATAAACCTGTTATAGGAGTTTCGAATCTAGGACTTATATATTCATATAATTCTGTCATATGTGCACAAAACCAACTACCATTCAATCTTTAATCTTCACGGTACGTGCACACAATAAAAACATTCATATAATACGGCATGCATAAATAGAATTGCAAGTTTTACATCTTGGAAAAACTCTCTAAGCTTTTTATTCATAAAACAACTAAAAGTAAGAAATAAAGTCCCACTATTCAATTGCATCTAAGAAATCAAAATTATATGCGACCCTTAGTATAATTTTGATCCACATAAACTTTTAATTAAGGCAAACCTTATAAAGAATGAACCACTGGGTGCAGGGTCTTGCAAAGTGATTCTGTATTGTGGACTGGAATATATAGAAATAAATATCTCAAAACTGGAAATGTTTGGTTGCTAAAGAAAGTAAAATGAGTGTTGCTTCCCAATTTGAAACTTTGAAGGAAGGGTTGCAATTGAAAGTACATGATGGAACCAATGCATGCTCAAGTTTCCTGATGAGTTGGAGGACTACATTTGGGGCTTTTGTGGAACCTCAAAATTAGACCAAGGGTTGAAACTTTTCTCTGGATTGGTGTTCAAGATAAACACTCCTTACAAATGAGCGGCGGTGAGGAGGCATATGACTGATGATGCGTCTTGTGGGGTATGTAATGCTTGCAGTGGAGAGACTCATGCTCATGCTCAAGATTGGTCTCCTGCCCCTCCTGATGTGTGGAGCCAGGAAGTGCTCTTGGTGCTGGAGGGCTTATCAGCGTTTATGGCTTAAAGCTTGCTTGGGACCAAGGTATTTCCTGGCTAATGGTATAAGCTGATTTTGCTCTTCCGTCTCTCATTCAAGGGGAGTATTGTCCAACTCATCCCTCGCTAGGCCTTACCTCTGAATGCAAGAATCTGATTCTTGTTAGTTGGGATTGCTCAGTAGTTCATATACATGGAGAATGGAATGACGCCGCGGACAGGTTAGCCAAACATGACACGGGAAGTAATTTAGGATATTAGATTCTCCCTCTAATTGCCTAGCATAGCACCGGCTCTTCAGGATGACAAGTCTGACAGAACTAGACAGACTTGACCATGTAACTGAAGAAAAAAAAACAATAAAACAATAAAACAAAAAAACAAAGTTCAAGGTTTTTGTTAGTTTAAGGATTTTGTGGCATGCTTTAACTTGACCAAGAAAAAATAAATCCAAATAACATGACAGTTAATTAAACCACAAACACGAGTTGGGTTTGTGACAAGAATATTGAACAATGAAGGAGAAACAAACAGTAGAAACTTTACTTTCAAGAGTAGTGAACAATGAAGAAGAAATAAATGTTGGAAAACTTACTTTGAATAAAACATTAGTATTGCTAACGATGAACAGAATCCGTCAATAAGACTGTAAAGCAATCACTGGGCTCCAACTGACTGAGCATGTTTCTCAAATCTGTTGAGGGACTTACTACTTCTACATTTTTCAGGCTTGTGAGGCGACACAAATCATCAGAAGACATCGTTAAGTCAGTGCACCCTTTGATGAGCAAACACTGAAGACTGCACATTGCACCACTCCCAACTCTACAATATTTGGCATCCAATTTCACCATATGCAGGACTCGGAGCTTAGGGAAACCACCATTGAAACAAAGATGCTGTCCAGTGACAGAATGTTGTTGTAGTTTAAGTATCACAAGGTTTGGAAGCTTTTCCAGGGTTTGGATATCAACAGATTGGAGCTCAGTTTTTTGCAAAGTAACCTTGGTGAGGGTCAATGGGAATACAATTGAATCTGGAAGATCAACAGGTGACACTACCTTCAATGTCTGAAGGTGGTTCAGATGGTCAAGACTTCGCAAAAATTCTGATGTTACCTCTCTGGAAGGGCCACCGAATCCTATTTTCTTAACATTACCAAATTTGGCCTTCACCATAAAACGCCTGGCTGCTCTGTCGGCATATAAACCTGACAATGATTTGAGAGGGCAGAGAGTACTATTCCTACTACCTGGGCCAGGTTTAATTCTCAGTTCTTTGAAGTGAAGATGTCGAAGCCATTGCATCTTCCAAACCCCACCTGGTAGCTGGTGTATACAAGATTCTCTCATGTCTAACGTTTGCAAATTATAAAGCCCACATATGGAGAACGGAATGTGTTGGAGTTTTGGAGCGTTAATCCGCAAGTACCTCAGATTATGAAGCTCCCAAAGTGCACGAGGAAGTTGGAGCACTACAAGAGAACCTAGATTTAACACCATCAGCATCTTTAACTTCCGGATAATTAAGTGCTGCTGCGTCGTGGATAGAGAACTTCTAGTGCCATACAATTGAAAAGAGCGAATGGTAGAAGAAACATGATCTAGGTAGTCAGAAAAATTCTCGGGAACCGTTTCGCTGATGGCAAGTCTTCGTGTCTGCCTCCAAAACATATGTTCTCTGTTGAAGGTGGTCTTAAAAAAGTTATAAATCTCATCACCCTGCCAAATGCAGAATTCTCGCAAAAGACCCAGTACACAGCATGTTTTCACTCCATCATCTGTCCTCCTCGCAACCACCTGGACCAAGCCCAAATTGATGAGCTCCTCCAAGTAACTTTCCCCAACATTCTCTATGTCTACACTGTCCGTTTCATGAACAAATCCCTCGGCAATCCACAACTGAATTAATTGCTTGGCAGAGATCTCATAATGTTCTGGGAACATTCCGAAATAAAGAAAGCATAATCTCAACTCACGGGGCAAGGAATTGAAGGTCGAAGTCATAAATGTTCTCTCACTACCCTCAATTACACATTTAGGTGTATTATTATACACCCAGCTGTAACGTGCGCAAGTCTCTTCACCTGCCAATAAATTCCCTACGATCACAATTGCAAGGGGTACTCCATGGCAATTTCTTGCAATTTGTGATCCAATTTCCTCTAGTGTCGAAGGACATTCTGATCCTCTAAAGGCCAGATCAGATAGAAGTTTCCAGCTATCTGCATTACTGAGAGGATGCAGAAAATACAGAGGACCCTTGCTTACATAAGAAGCTACTTGTTGAAGACGTGTCGTGACCAATATTCTGCTCCCATTCATATTGTCTGGAATAACACGTTTTACGTAATCCCATGCTTCCACTGAATATAAATCATCCATGACTATCAGATACCTCTGCTTTTGTAACTGTTCATACAGCGTCTTCGTGAGCTCATCCTCGGGCATTCTAAGCAATTCCTGGTTATTGCCTGGCATGATACATTTTGCTATGCATTCCAACAGATACTGATCAGAGCTGATTTCCCGCGATACATCAACCCAAGCACTCACATCGAAATTCTTTTTAATAGATTGATCATTGTAAATTTTCCAGGCAAGAGTAGTCTTGCCTATGCCTTCCATTCCAACAATTGAAATCAAATCCAGCTGTGAATTTCCGGATGTGAGCTGCTTTACTAGTTTACTAGCCTCATTGTCCAAGCCCACAATATTAATATCATCCATATGAGACTGATCAAGCAAAGGTCTACGGATTTCCGCAATTTCATCCTCCAATCTGCCCATATAATTCTTGTAGTTGTCTATTCTCCCATTAATCTCATTTATAATGCTATTTATTTTTCTGAAGGCCTGATTCAGCATTGCTGCACATTGACGTTGATGGATATACTTTAATTTCCCCAGTCCCGTCGATTGCTTCTTAATATTCTTGAACAAGGAGTTAACTTCAATCTTTTCCTTGAAAATTAAGTCCATAATTTGGATAAAAAATATAATCCTGACTTCACTTTTGTTCTCTGGCTCGTTAGAGATTTCAAGAAAAGCATAAATCCTTTCGAGCTCAGAGATATATGAGTCTAATATATCTGCCTTTTCGAGAACTTCTTTTTCTCCTAAAAGATTCTTCAAAATCAGCACGTGGCTTTTCAAGTCCTGCATCACAAGTTGGTAAAACCTCTCCCAATCAGGTCCCCCACTCTTGGATGAACCTTGGCCTTCAGTATAGTTTTTGAACCATATCCCTGAAAGCATTTCCTCGCTTTCATCAATGTCATACTGAATAATGGATGAATCTCCACCATAGTTCTCACTAATTTCAAAAGGAGTTACAAATTCACGAGCCTTCCTTTTACCCTTATAGAGCTTATCTGTCCCAATTAATTTGCTAATCTCAGTTTCAAATTTCTTCTTCCTTGGACTTAGGCGAAGAAAATACTTGACTTTCTGAACGTTAATTTCGACCTCATTCTTGATGTGCTTTAACTTGATAGAGGCTTCACGAAGCACCGCATCATGGTAAGTACGATGCAGAAGCTTGCTTACCCCACTGCTCATCTGTACCTTTATTTTACTAATGACAACCTTGTCAATTGTATCCTCTGCATCATTCATTAATTTTGTGATATTGAAAATGACAAACTTGGTCGATGTCTTGTCTTCCTTGCTAACTTCACGATCCCTGAACCAGGAATCTAACAGTCTGACATCAGCATGAAACAATCTCACTCTTTCCTCAACTCCAACAAGTAGATTTGTATTTTGTGCAAAAATCTGGTTCACGTGCTCACAAAACAAAGAAATAACATAAAAATCCATTCCACTGCTTCTCTTATATTTTGAAACCCTGCTGCAAATGCTTAAATTGGAAGAGGCACCGATCTGTAGCAACTTTATGACAAGGAGAAGCTGTTCCCTACCGCTCTGAGTTAAGTGAGGCATGGGATGAATGGTACTCAAGATTTTTATATTGAAATTTAGGTTTCTGCATAGCCACAAGTGAGTGAGTTAGCATGGTAAAAGGGTTAATTTTAGTTTGGTACCCTAAACTCTCACCCTTAAGGCGTGTTTGTCCCAGCACTCTCAATTTTAACAATAAAGTACCCTATGTTTGTAAATTTGTTGCAATGTGGTTCTGCAATGGTTGTTAAAGAATCTGTTAAGTGATGACGTGGCAAACGTGGGACCCCCTTCTTTAAACATGCCTCCCCAAGAACCCAGAACCCCAGCCCGCAACCACCCAGACCCCTCCCCCCTTCTGTTTTCTTTCCTTCAATTTCATAATATTTTTTGTTTTTTTATATTTTTTAATAGGTTTTTCATAAATCGGGTCCCATGTTTGCCACATCATCACTTAACAGATTCTTTAACAGCCATCGTAATTTCTATGCTGAACCACATTGCAACAATTTTACAAAAATATAGGGTACTTTATTGTTAAAATTGAGAGTGCACGGACAAACACGCCTTAAGAGTGCGAGTTCAGGGTACCAAACTGAAATTTACTAGAAAAAGATCAGAGTTTCAACGTGCTAGAGAAACTTGGGAAATCCAGAAGGCAGTCCAACAAATTATGAGTTCTTTATACGTCATTGTAAGTCTAGCACATAAACTCTCTCTTGACTACAATATTTCACAATGAAACATTTTTATCGTTTAGTACAGACACGTTAAAGAAATTCAGAAATGAAAGAAAAACAAACAAACAACCCATCACCACCCCCAACCCCCAAAACAACACAGAAATAAAAATGAAACCCAAATAATCAAAAGCCAATGGCCAGTAGTCCAGCAGCAATCAGTTTCTACTTTGTTGGAGGAGATCATGAATTTAAATTGCATGAACGACAATTGTTGAATATAAAGTAATCAAAGAAAGCTGTGTAATCAAAGGTCTAGTACAAGAATAGAAAATATATACGTTAAATTGTATTCTGGAAAAGGATGGGATTTGATGTTCGAAACACAAACAACCAAATAAGTTAACAAGGCAAACAAAAAGAAGAAATACATAAATTTCAAATAATTTATTTAATTTAGTTATTCAACGTCAACAATAATTACAGATTCATTCAAATATATTATATCAAAGTGTTTTTCTATTTCTATCAGTTAATCTACTCATATTGCCAAAACCCGGATTCTCTGTAAATCTTTCTGCTCATCTGAAACCTACAAATCATGTTGCTGGACAGAAAAAAGTACACTTTAAAACAGTTTATCGCATGTCATATCTGTACATCTACCTTAACTAAAGAAATAGTAGAACAGACAATTGTGCATCAAAGAAAGCTTGTGAAAATTACCCGGATCTGGGAGAATTGCCGAAGTGATATCCTCATGCCTGCGCAAAGGTGGAAGAAGCGCCAATATTTCGAGCATTTATCACAGATCTAAATTAAGTGGAGCAGAGACTTTGATGATTAGAGTAGTGACGAAGGAGAAAGAGGCCCATTCAGAATGGTTGTGTGATGTGGGATTGAAGGACTTGCCTTTCCTAAATCGACCACAGCGCTCACCGTATTGGATGAGAAAGACTTTCATGTCAGCCAATATTGTATTATTTGTTGGATAATAAAACAGTGTTAATTTATCTTTATTTTTATTTATTTTATTAATTTAATAATTTATCTTTATTTTTATGTTCTACTCCGCTTTAATTTCTGTTGAAACTAATTGATAGGAAGAAGAGAGGGTGTTTGTTGAGCAGTGGGTGGGGCAGGCTGCCACGGGACTTGAGTGTGGGGTTGTTTTTGTTTTTAATTTCTTTTATTTTTTAAAGTGCATTGTAATTGACAAAATTGCCCTTACGTAACTTACTTTAACAGAGATTTTCTGTTAAATCTAACCGAGGTGAAAGATTTGCACTAAAGTTGAAGTCTAGGTGGTAATCAGTCAAATTTTATTCTTTGGGTGGTAAATACGCACACCTTTATTAGTTGAGGTGGTATTTATACAAATTTCCCTTACTTTAAATAAACAAGGATCCATGTTTTTGTTTATTGAGAGGTTTTTTAGTTAAACCTTAGAAGATCGTTATTGTTCTCGAGTAAAAACGCTAATATCCAATTTTAAACTCAAAGCTGACTTCGCCACTGATGGAAAGTCAAACAGTGGAAGAGAGCAAGACAATTGCATTAAATGTGATTTGAACCATGAAGATCGGGCGCTTCAACCTGTCTAGGCCAGCTAAAAGCGCAAAAACTGAGGGAGATCCAAGGAACCGCCAGACTTAGCTACAAAGAAGAGACCGGTAATTAAGATATTCCCTTTTACCACGAGGACAAAACCCAGAAACCAAAAGGGCTATAAATAAGATGAAAATGTTTTGATTCGAGGATGCCAACTTCTCTCAAGAAAAAAACCATCTTATTTGAACTTACTTTAGATACCCTCAACTCAAACAAATTGCCAAACACATCTCATAGCAGATCAATGGCTAAGATTTGAATCAAACCTCTCTCAGTCTTTTGAGTCCCCAATTGACAACTCCTGATTGGAACTCTCTTCTTTTCCCAAACACATACTCTGATTAATTCCCAGTAGACTACTCCTGATTGGAATTATTGGTTATTGTTTGTAATCTAAAATGTTCTGCCAACATCAGTGCTTGGTATGATTTTTGTAAGCTAGTTGTGTTTTCTAGTTTATCTAAGATCAAACTCGTATATGTAAGCTTTCCTAAGCATTGTGGATACTGGTGGCACCTCAATCGGACTCTCTGTACTGTCTCAAGTAGATTATAGTGGTGTCCGAGGAGTTCTGTTTCTATCCGATAATCACTTCCTTATCTTCTGTTAGGTTGCTTTTGCTTTTAATCAAATGTATTTGGTCTAAATAGATTCACATTTGCTTTCTTGCAACAATATAATACCAATCTAACACAACAACTTAAAACTCTTATTTTGTTCTCTGTCCGATATCAATTTAAAGTTGTTACTTCTTCCAAGTTTTATTCTGCAACAAGTGAAATATTGAAGTTCTATTAACTGAGGCATAGAAAAGAACTTATCCAAGCCAGATTCCCCACTTGGAGCACAATGGCTTTGGTTAGAGGTTAAGATCCACGAGTGCAACACCATTTTCCCATCATTCGATTACTCATTCTCTCTTTCTACTAGAAGAGTAAAACACTAGTAGTGGCACACCTAACACATCCAAGGAAAAGGAGCAACATCAAGCCTAAATTATGGGTCCAGACGAGCCTTTCTTAATCAACAAGTAACACATCGCAGCTGAACATGAGCTTGCAAAAGGACTAGGGCATCACAGTGTTCTCCAATAGCACTCAAGCGCTTTTGGCACGTACATTGGTATTGGATAGACTTCAGTCCAACTTAGTCATTCCTTAAGTCTCTATTTATCTAGCCAAACATAAAAAGTCTATATATCTTCTACATTTATTTATATTTTATTGAAAGTCCAATTGGGTAAGGCAGTGTACCATCCTCTCTTACACTATTGTTAAGAATATTATTTAGAGAAAAATAAAAAATTAGCCATCTCTTTGTTTTTTGTTTTTCTAATTCAAATGATAGTCTAAATTATTAGTGAAGAAACTATCAAATGTCACGAGTATCAACTCGACTAAATCAGTGAAAATTCTTTTTCTTTCTAAAAACAAGTGATAGTTTAGGACCTGTTTGGTATTCAACTTGAATACAACCTTTTTAACTCAAAAACAAAATTTGAGTCCAAAAAAAAAAAAAAACTTGTTTGGTAGCCCTATTTTTAAAAACTCAAATTCAAGAACAACTAAAAAACACCCCAATTATTAAAAACAAAAATTATCTGTTTTTTCAGTTTTTTCTAACAACCCACAAGTTCTCAAATTTTTAAGATTTGAAAACAGTTTTCAAGTTGCATACCGAACAAGTTTTTGAATCTTAAAAATAGATTTAAGAACTCTTTGTTTTTAAGAAAAATCAAAGTTTTTGAGTTCCCTATTTGAATAGGATACTAAACGCTCCCTTAACTATTAGTGAGGAATCTACCAAGCGTCACGGGGTATCAACTGGACTAGACTGAAAATATACTCTTAACCAAACAGGAGCGTAAAGTATTTGTGAAATTGCCATTTTTTAATTTTGGTTAGGTGAAATCACCATTTTCTCATTTTGGTAAAGGGAAATCGCCATTTTTTAAGAGATTTTCTATTTAAACCGTACACTTCTCTTTGTTCACCCCAACTTCTAATTTCAATTTTCAGAATTTCTAAGAAAACCCCACTATCTTCCCAAACTATCCTTAAATACACCCCAAGCTGAAAAAATAAGAAATAAAAGAGATTTTCTATTTAAACCCCACAATTTTCTTTGTTCACCCCAATACTTAAATCATTAAACAATATTTGTAGTATACATGAGATTTTGTTGTTTTCACAAGCTGTTTTTATCATGTGATTAGTGTTAGAAATGTGCCCTAAGAGCCAATACATTTGATGTAATCTCCTTAGAATACATTTCGTATATGATATATAAAGGGCAAACTTATTTGTTATCTTTTACATCGTGTAAAGAAACAAATGTCCCGGGTATGCTAAATAAGAGATAAAGTAATCTAAAAAAGATTAGATTCGGGAGACCTTTAATCTCTAACTGTAGCATCCCAAAATGTTCCTAATCATAGGTTATCAAATGGGCATTGATAAACCGTCAAGATTAGCGCATATTATGTATGCTCAATTGGGAGGATGGTTAGTCTCAAACCATTTGTGTAGTTGACACTAATATAAGTATGTGGGTGCTCATTAGTGAATGAGTACACTGAACGCGATCAACCGTAGTTCTCATATGGAGTATTTATCTATATGTCAAATGAGAACTCATAGTTGCAATAATGCAAATTAGTCCTTAGACCTGAGGCATCATGGTGGTCCTGTGATGCGTTATTGATTTTTGATAGCTCTTAAAGGCAAGCCGTAAAAGATTTGTCTTAAGTGTTGTTGGGATCTCTTAATTCATCATAGGGGCATGTGAATGTACAATAAGGAATCTCTACTTTCGATAAAGAAGGAGAATGTTTCAAGATGTGATTCAATAAATCTTTGGCCAAAGTATTTTGAGCTTGATTTAGAAAGTTGTTCTTAATCATGTTCTTTTGAATCACATGAGGTTATAAATCATATTAGGGGTTTGACATAAACAATCCGTACCCTAATAATATGATTTGAAACATTGTATAAGAGAAGGACCATATTGCATTGCAATTCCAACTGAATAGGTTCTTCATCTATTCTGGTTAGCTCGGGTAGCCTTGAATGGTTAACTTTGAGTAATACAAATGAGAATGAGGAAATCAATTTGATTGATTTGATGTGGATGATTTACTACGTGTAAAGTCGTATTTGGGCCTCGATAATAGTTAGAGGGAAGCCCAAATGGTTGGGTAGCAAGCCCAAGGGCTTAAGACACCTAAATATTATGGTTTAAGTGTCAGAAGGCCCAATTTTGGAAGCCCAATGGGATTTGGCCGAAAATGGTTAAGTGAATGTGTATGGGAATTGTTTC